TCTCCGAGATTTGTTGTACTGATACATGGTCACTTTTAACAATTTGAAGACAGTCATTTCATTGGTTGATGTAATAATCATCAGAACAGAACGTAGACTGTAGTACTGTCAGTTATTTGTAAGTGAAGCATCAACCAAAAACCCGTATTTCAAAATATGCTCTTCAACTTCGTACTTTATAAGGCCTTTTAACTATTCTGGTTCCAGAGTCACTAATAAGTCTTTTGTAGACGAAATGCACGTCTGGCGTACCAAGTTTTAAGCTGGATATCTATTATCTATTATGAGTTTATCATATTGACCAACATAATTAAACTAGAAGGAACAGGAAAAAAAGATCACAGCACATGACTGAAATAAAGTTAAAACAGAAACAAAGTTAGATCAAATTCAAAACAGATGCAAAACATTCAACCTCAAATCAGTTGAAGTGTAGTAATAACCCCTAAACACTAACTAAAGTTAAGGCAATATAAAGCGGAAGAGAGAAATGAGATTCCCGATAAGATTAAAAATATTCAACATCCCTCAAGCGACACTGTCATAGTTGTACGTATTAAATCACCATTGAAAGTTCATAATAATTAACACATTGCACTTTCCAAAACTTGTTTTTCTTGAATCAACTTTGTTTCCATGTTAGAATTTTCGTAGGGTGGATATATTGCATCCTTGCCTATACAAACCTTATAAATTTAGAAAATTATGGAAAAAAAACTAAGGACTGAACTCTTTCAGCGAAAGTTGACCTTAGATAGATTTAGCTATTGTCCTTTTTGGTTATATAGCTCATCAACTTTTTTGGTTCTTTTACATCATTGGCTTTCAGATATCTGTTCCAAGCGTTCCCGATGAAGGTGAATCAAGAAAGGCGCTTCGGACGCATGATATTTATAAAGAGTTGTTTTAATAATATATGGAAAAAACATGTTTTGAATTTTGAATTCAATTGCATAATCTCTTTCTGAAACCCCCATTTTTACCATAAAAGAATAATGCAATACCGGGTAAACATCATTTTCAGATCCCACTCTGTACCTATGCTCATTCGACATTTCGTCTGTACTCAATTCGAATGACAATTACAAAGATGTAGGTAAATGTAAATTTGTCTTATTTCTATTGTATGATTCTTTAATCTGCTATTCAATACAAGAGAATTTAAAACTTGATATCATCTTTTTTTGTACAGCTTTTATGTATTGAAAATGTAATGTGATCTTTAAAAATTTTTCAATTCATTGCAAAATATGTGTTAATGTCGAATGAGAAAATGTTTAGCGGTGTGTAAAATAATTACATTCGAAATAATTATCAAAATGTCATCCTAACTGTCTTAAGTAACATATGACGAAGACTTGTTTTAAGTTCTACCGGAGAAGACTTTCCTATTTGTTATGAAAGAGTCTTCATGAACCTTCAGACGGTAAATGTATAATGCTCTAAGTGAATTGTACCATGGTCTGATGTATAAATAATTACTGTATATTTCAATATAATGAACAATTACTCAACATAGCGCGTTAAATCTATTGTTTTGGATAATTTCTTATAAAAGTAAACGAGAGACGGTGAGTACTAACGCTCTTCTACTAATGACGTATAATAAATGAATAGTAAGTTTAATTATTTCTTTTGACTTTGATTCTTAATTCGCTTCACATGAAATTTCTATACTTTAATACGATTAACCTGACGTACACGTGCATAGTTTCATGTAGCAACATAATGTGCATAAACTTCAACATCTGTGATGCAGTGGCATATAAAAAGAAACATGTTTGTTCCTTGTAAAATATATTTAATAGGATTTTGCCTTCTAACATGGGACATAACATCGTGTTTATCAAATAAACTTTGCAATTAACCATGTAAACAGTGGCTTTTAAGTCTTTAAAGCTAAATAAAAAAATAACATGTATAATCATATGTCAGTGCACATGCATGAATATGGAAAAGGTAAAAATAACACCTCATACGTAAATCTCAAACATATGTTTCTTTTGATCTGATGAAATTTTCATATAATTTTATTATTGTTATTATTATTATTATTATTATTATTATAAAGCCAATCTTTAACTATCCAAATGCACTACTTTATTTTACTTGCATTCAAATAAGTAACTATCTATAGTTTAAAACGTATTATCCTGCAAGATGTTTATCATTAAAATAAAATGAAACTGGCTTACAAAATTATAAGCCTGGTATCTTTGATGATTTTTTATCTCTAGAATCTTATTTTGTAAAGGAGTAGGTCCAGTAAGACCCCTTTTTGGCCCCAAAATATAGCAGTTTTACAAAATTGTTACAATGTAAACTTTTAGCTATTTATTGGAAAGTATAAGACTTCTGCTACATAAAAATGGGCTGTTTTTGACAATACAATGCACATATATCGGGTACTAGCATCATTTAGTCATGCTAAATTACTGAAATCTTCACAATTTTAGAATTTGAGTTAAATTTTAGACGGTTTCCGTCTTAAATGGAAGTGGCCGCATTTGTGTTCATTCTTAATATTTGAATGTAAGTTGTATTTGATGATAATACATAACATATATAAAGGTTGAGAGTGAACACGGATGCGGCCACTTTCATTTTTGACAAAAACCATCTGAAAAGTGACACATTATGGCATATTTGATAGATTTTTCATATTTAAGCTTGAATTAGAGCGTCTGAAATGACTAATTTAGTTAAAATCTTTCATATAAACTAATTGAATCGAATGAGGTAGACACTTAAGTGTTTAAAAAGTGTCCAAAATCTTTCATCAGATGAACCTGAAATTTGAGGCCAAAATCGGCCCTTACCGGACCTACTCCTTTCAAACTTTTATCTTCCGTTGAATATAAGAATATTGTTTGGGAATGATACAAATTCACATTATTTCTACGTAAAATGTTTTCATCTAATTTATTTTCAATCAAGACATTAGGATGTTCTGCTTAAATCTGTTGCTGACTTCATTTATGCTTCGTAGGTATGTTGACATTTGCACCCAGAGAATTTGATATAGGCTATCCCATAAGCATATGCGAGCATAAAAATTAGAATCCGTAAATTTATTTAAAATGTAGTATAAACAAATATCGAAAAACATTCTTTTAAGAAGCATATAGTTTGCGCTACACATTCGACATTCAAAAAAAAAAAAGTTTTTATTTTGTTTCATTTGTTTAACAAAATATTTAGAGAATACACTGCAACTTATTATGATGGTAACGGACAATTATTTCATGAAATTCTAACATGTGTTATATACAAGTATGAATGCATCCTAGAGGTGACATTGTTTCACGCTTTTGCAGCAAAACATTTAATAATACATGTATAACAATTTTGTTTTTATTTAATTTATTCTATTGTAACTAACCAACTCTTCAGAAAATCATCCGGGGGAAATCCTCTCGTTTTTATCTTTTTAAATACGGTTTAAATAACCATGAGGGAAACACTCAGTTTACCGTTTTTTTAAAGTATTTTAAAACACAAAAGATAGATTTGGCAGAGACCAATCAGTTAACATAAATATAACTTCAAAAGAGAGTGAACAAGATGTAAATATTTTTAAAAATGCATGTTAAAAAGATTGCATGTATCAGTAAAACATTTTTAAAGTAGTTTTGAAATGCAACAGAATGTTTTTGCAGAGATTAATCGGTTGACATAGATATAACTTTTGAATAAATATATTGTGTACAAGATGCAAAAAAATAGAATAAAAAAAAATGTTCAAAAGATTGCATATATCAGTTATAAAACCAACGTGAAGTTTTCCAAAACATCAACCCTTTATTTCATTAATTGGAATCTAAGTACTTATACATCCTTGGCTTTCGAATTTTTTGGATGTGATCGTTTTTGATGAAGGTAAAATAGAAAAGTCCTTAGGCCACACAAATTTATAAAGAATCATTTTTATTATTTTCGTGAAAAAGTAATGTTTCCTCTTTCAGCAAGTGTTTCACCGAAACTATGGAAAAGTCAAAGAGAAACGGATAATATATTTCATCATACATTTATGTGCAAAAAGATCGAAGAGCTATATGCTCAAAAAGGACATAAAAAATCAAAGTAAAGTAGTCAAATAACATATATATCTCCACCCTACAACTGGACATTAATTGTCATATAAATGATCCTACTGCGTTTATGTTCCAGTTGCACGTAGCATGCTTGCATTGAGTTTGACGTCGTGCTCGTTGGATGAATTTCTGCCAGAATGAAATTTTCCGCATGCAAGTCATATCATGTAATAAAGATTTCGAAAATGTTTTTGAACTTTAACTATGTTTCATCGTCAGAAAGCTTGAATCGACACAATGGTATTATGTACACTAGGATGAAAATATAGAAATGAACATGTTAACCAAATCTGTTTAATAAACGGTTGAAAAGAAACATGTTCACGACATATTGTTTTGCTTACAGTAAAGGTATGATTTTTACTCCTACCAGCTACATTAATAATGAAACTTTACGACATAGACTTTAAAAAGGCTACTGCCGCAGAAATCTGTTATTTTTTTCGAGGTTTTGTTTTTCGTTTTAATTTCATTCTTTAGATATAGAAACGATGAAACGAGGACTTCGATCTAGTTATTACAAGATCAACTTTTAAGTCAGTGTGTGGGAATTTTAGATCATTCTGTCATTTAGTTGTTTTAGAAATGTCATTTAGTATTAGGAAGTGTATTGTAGTAGAACTGTGTACCTGTTATATATTTAATAGATCTCATATATTACATAACATCACCAACCAACTTAAATTCAAAACCCTCTTTTTTTAATTATTTTTGGAATCAAAGAAGGGAATACATTACACAGAATAGAAGTACGTGCAAGTGGTGGTCCTTGTCTATACAAAGTAAGAAGACAAGTATAAGTTAAGTTTTATAATATCGGTGAAGATAATATATAACTATTTTGTTAATGAATATCTATACCGGCCCGCTATAAGGCATTTTAGTATATCAGGATTTTTTAATTATTAAAACAAAACAACATTTGAATACATAATTTGTGATGAATTCAGTTGAGTTCCACAGCCTGTCACTTACGGACTTGTCTGTTACATACAAGACGGCAAAGCACCCATACCCATACCACACAAGCTTATGTCGATCTGAGCAATTTTTATTTTCGATAAATAAAAAAAATAACAATAGTAATAACATAATAACACTATGTTATTATTTTCCTGGAATTTCACTACCTGTCGTCTTGTGGACGTGTCTGTGACATAAGAGAAGGTAAAGCACCTGACATAAATAATGAAGATAAATACTGACTGCTGGTTGGTATCGGACACCTCGGTCTTACTACAGATTGTTCTATATTGTTCACCAGTGATGTTATATTTGGATGGAAAGTTGTCCAATAATTGTTACTGTGAATCATTCTTTGAACAGTGGCAAAGTTTGTTGCTTCCGTTAATAATTCAAGTCCAACTGCGGTTTGTCTTTTCCATTTTGTTCTGAAAAATCATAAATAAAGATATATCAGTATCAAGGGTTTAAATAGTAAGTCCTTAAATCCTTGGGAATGCACTTTCTGAAGTTTTATCATTGAAAAAAATTCATTTTTGTTTTTGTAAATAATTTTAAAACGATAAAAAAAAATACATAAATGAAATTTGAGTTCATTTAAAGGGTTTCGAGATTTCAAATTAGGAAGTCAAATAATCAACCATCATTGAACCAATTTTGAACTTAAACGGTCATTTTCTTTAGCGAATGAACAATAATTTTAAGTCATGTTCAGTCTTTCATTTGATATCAGATTGATCTACTCCTGTTCAAAGAATCGCTTAAAGTCAGTTAAAATCTGTTCATTCTTTTTCAGACTTTTCAGTAGCTGTAACAAACAACATACTGAATTGTCTGAAAAGGCACTGCGCATTTCTGGATTGACTGCAAGCAAACTGTCTGAACAGTTCTTAATTTGCTTCAAGAAAACATATGAAAAATACCCTTAATTGGTTATAACACTTAACTTTTTAAATGTCTGTCTTTTGAGATGATGTTTATATCAAAATGCCCGTATTTTTTTTTACTTTAATCCATTTACTAATGCGGAAAGAAAATAACAAAAAAAAACAACCCAGAAACAAGAAAATGTAATACCGATAAGTTAGGAGCAACAGTAGTTTATTAATGCTCAAATTTCATATATTCATAACGAAGATACAAAAAATCACAAGGTGAAAAACAAAAACAAAGAGAATCGCATGAAATCCAAAAGGAAAGAGACCAGATTCGTCGACTGTATGAGCTTCTCTGATATGGACGCATGACACAAAGAACATGCCGTGACAATGAATCGACTGATGATATTTATCAGCCTTGAATCAGTCTCTTACGCGGTATGGTTTTTGCTCATTGTTGAAGGCTGTACGGTGACCTATAGTTGTCAACTTCCGCATCATTTGGTCTCTGGTGGAGAGTTGTCTAATTGACAAACATACCACATCTCCGTATTTTCATATATGAAATAAATTACTTTATGTATAACAAAATTCAACATTGCTATGCGTATCTATCATTTGCAGTCATTATTGATTTTTCGCCCTTTTATTCATATGAAATAAGCTTGGAGAATGAAAGACGATTATCTTGACGCTTTTAAAATCATAGTTTTGTTTGCCATAGTTTTTTTTTTATCTTCGTTTTAGGTTGTTAGTTGCCCAATTCATTTTTTTTCTCTACCTTTATTTACAAAACATTAACGTCTCCTTGTATCATTTGTAAGAGTTTATGAATAATGTATTAAAGATCATGTTGATCTCAGTCTTTTTTGCATCATTGTTGGGAGCAAACATGATTTAATTTAGATGTTTATTTGCACATCTTTTGATTAACATAAGAACATTTATTTCTGTCTCAATATTTTTCTTCAGATTCTTATGCTTCATTGTATGGGATAAAATTACTCACTCTTTTAAACAAGTTTGAAGAAATTGGTGGATATATTTTCCAAAAGACCACAAGTATAATATAACTTAGCTGTGAGATCACGAACTGATTAATATTCATATACCAATTATGGTATTATTTATTCTTGGTTATAAATATATATAGTGAACCTAATTGAGATCAACAATTATACTAATCATTTTTTTAATTATAATATGAAGGACACATTTGTATCTATGGTGAGTTTATTAAGTGTTTATATTCTATATCTATATTACTTTTAATGTCTTTTTTGAGTTTATTAAGTGTTTATATTCTATATCTATATTACTTTTAATGTCTTTTGGTATTGTGGTGCAGCCAATATTAAAGAAATTAAGGATAGAACACTTTGCAACCGGTTTCCCATTTTTCTCGATTACTTTTCAAAGCAAGATGTTTGCTGTTAAAAGGGAAGATATAATATGACCATTTTATGTAGCTCATTTATTTTTTAAAATATTATAATTTTGTTTTCAAATACCATCTTTCAAATGTCACAATACATATAGAATAATGGCAAGTTTGTTTTTGATACGGACTTTTCAGAAAGAATATCAAGCGAGCCAGCTAGGGCGAGCTGATATTCGAGCTGATAAAGTCAATACCAAAAACAAAATTGGCATTGAACTTTTTGGCAATTCGTATTAACAATATTTTTGTTGGTTCAGAATATGAAATAAAATGAAATAGTTAGTAAAACTATTTTTACGCGTACAAAACGTTAAGTTGTTCGGTTGTATGATTGACTTCGTGTGCATTTCATTGATAAATCGACGCTGATGGACACGCGTGACGTTGCTGCACTGACACGTAACATTATTGTCTAATATTATCGAGTATCAGGTCTTGTTCCAGAAAAAAACATTAGGCAGTGAGATCAAATGGAAAATGTACAAATTACCGACAAATAAGTATATCATATATCAATTTTGATATTTTTCGAATTTGTTTTACAAATTTGCGTTTTGGCTCCAAGCAACTTGCGTACAAGAAAATTGCTGAAACTATCAAATTTTCCATTTTCATCCCATTCTATAAATATGAATTTAAGGTTGTTTGCCTTATTAGAAAATGAAGGGGGTGCCATAATATTGACAACTCAATATAAGTTATTGCCATTAGTTTATATAATAAGTAAATGGCTCAACTTCCAAATAAGAACTTTAAAAATAAACGTTATCCAAAAATTATAATATTTGTTCTTATATGCAAAATGCACAGCATCTTAAGTGTTATATTAATACAAACCTTCGATTTTGATACCACGTTTTGACTTGAGTATCTGTTAGATGTAACCTTTGTGCAAGTTCCATTCTATCTTGAACACTCAAATATTTTTGTCGCTCAAAACTCTTTTCAAGAACACGCAGTTGATTGTCGGAAAATGCAGTTCTTGCTTTTCGTGGTTTCTTTGGCTTGTTTAATACAAATGTTGGAGATTCAGAATTCCCTGTTATAAACAACATTGGACTCACTTTAAATGGATCCAAAATATAATACATCATATAGTATTCAATGTTAAAATTTTCATCCTTTGTATAGTAATTTTTTCTTGATGTATTTGTTTGTTGTTTTTTTTTTTTTTGCACTTTTAGTTTATTCCTTTTTTCAAAGAATTGCCTTGTTTTTTGTTTGATTTTTTTGCTTTGTTTATTTGTTTTTTGTTTTTATTTTTTTTAATTTCTTTTGTCAGAAATATCTGCTATGAAGAGGTCGTCTGTACAGACTGATTTAGTCCAATTTATTTTCATTACTATTATTTTTTTCTATTTTTTTTTTCAATGTCAATTTTTGACCATTATGACATTAGACTGCATTAGAATAAAATTATGCCAATGTTGTTTGATTTTGTATTAAAATATATTGTTTATGATCTACTTATAATTATCATATTTTATATATATATTAAATATTGTATGTTCTTTTTTGTCATTAAAATTACAGGTTTAAGTAATATTTATTATTTTTTAAACTAAAAGGAAATATTATGTATTTATTTCAGTGCAGTTTGTTATCTTATTTATATATATATTTCAAAAAGTGTACCTTTGAAATAAGTAAACCTAAACATAAAATGTGTATAACATTTTTGTTGATAATGATTCATTCAGAGTTTGCTGGGTTCAGTTATTTTCTAGATTATTAACACTCATGGGGAATTTTTAGAGACAAGTTTGGAAATTCTATATGTATGAATCCATGGATGAAATTTAACTAAGGGAAGAACTCTCAAAAGAATGATTAAACAAAAACTCATCAACGATAATCGTTTCAAGTTAATATTATCGTCTCAACTATGATAGTTTTTGTAAAAATGGTAAAATGTATCTGCAGAGTTTAACAAATAAAGACTTAAAATAGGCCATGCTAGTTTTTTTATATTTGTAAAATGCGGACTTTCATTAAAAATATGTTTTCTGGTTGATAAGGGTAGGGCATACTAAAATATATATGGTTGTCTGAAGAAAATTTCAGTGTAAATCGAGTAAAATCCGTTAGTTAGGAGCAAAAACTATCAATAATATTGCACATATTAATGATTTTTCTTATACTGATAAATATGATTTGATATTGGATCAATTCTGCATTATTAAAGTTCTGGACAAGCATACAATTCTTTTTTATGATTTTTTAACAAGGTTAGTATTCTACTAATCGATTTATTTATTTATTTCTCAATTATTTTTCAGTGATATTTAATTAATTTATTTATTCATTTCAGTAATATTAAATTTCTGTGTAAGATTAATCATTAAACAAGAAATTTTTGGTATTAAATTTCAGTGCTATAGTAATTGGACTTTATTTAATAATCTACATTGCAAATAGAAGAACACATATTTTAGCTGCCTAAACGACATATTCCAAAAAATTCAGTGTCATTTTAAAGAGTCAATGTATCATTCACCTAGCACTAAAAGCAATAGACATACCTCTTGATCTATCGAATGGACTTCCTACTTCCTCATTGCTACTAGAATTCGAATTCGAATCGGATTCGTAATTTAATTCTTTTTGTAGTGCATTGGTATCTGGTCGTTTAGAAGTGTTATCATCTTTGCGTAAAATGTCATTTATAAGAAATGATGGTCGCTGCTGTGGAATTTGAGGAACGTGTAACATACCATGCGAACTAGCACCACTAGCTAAAGGTCTTTGACTGTTTATGGTACTAAGAATAGATGATTTGTTTTCCGAGATAGGTTTGTCAGTAGTAGAATCACATAAGTCCTTATATTCATGTGAAGAATTGCAAGAGGTACTTGCTGACTCCGAAAGAACTTCTGCTAAGGTAGTAGACATTATGTTTATCTTATAGTATTTTATGTATTAAATTTTTAACAAACTCTATTCAGTAATCTAGACGAATAAGGCATTAATTTCATGTGTTATATTTTCCATTTCCAAATGAATGTAAGAGAAAATTATCTCAAGATTTTTCTTAAACGAATCAGTTAAGAAGATTAATTCAGTTAAGATGTTACATGCAGTTCAAGGGTCACAGGCATTCATATTTTATTTTATTTATTTAGAGTTGCAGAAAGTTCATACTGATATTATAATATTATTGACATGAAATTGATACCTCCCGTGGCTGTGAAATGATTGTCGTATTATATTGAACCAACCAATCAAATATATTCTTTTAATACAGACAACAAATCGTATCTAATACAGCTGTCAATAGGCGGGACCTATCGCTCAGGTATCTAGTAAGGTTACTAAAAGAGCTTTAATATAATTTACGCTTCATGGTTAAAGTTTTACGTAATTTTTTAAAGGAAATTAAGCATATTAGTCACTCTGCACTCTGATTATATGCAGTTAATGAATCAATTGTCAATTAAGTAAGCTATAGGAAAAAGAATAAAAGCTTTCTTAAAATTAAAAAAAAATAATAATGTTCTGCTGTATATAAAGTATATGATTATAGTTATTATAAATATACACGTAAAACACCCAGATATTTAAAAAAAAAAACAATAACCTAAAGGGGGTTTTATTGTTAGTTTGATTAAAGAAATAATTGTTTTAGTGATTTTATATTTTGTCCCATAAAAAGTAAAATCACAAAAATACTGAACTCCGAGGAAAATTCAATCGGAAAGTCCCTAATCACATGGCAAAATCAAATGACAAAACACATCAAACGAATGGACAACAACTGTCATATTCCTGACTTGGTACAGGCATTTTCAAATGTAGAAAATGGTGGATGAACCTGGTTTTATAGCGCTAAACCTCTCACTTGTACGACAGTCTTATCAAATTCCGTTATATTTACAACGATGCGTGAACAAAACAGACATTATAAATAAAATAGTCAAAATATGGGTACAGCAGTCATCACTGTGTTACAATATCAAAACAAACAATTATTTACAAAAAAGAACAAAAGCATCTATCAAATTAAAAACCACATTCATTCATAAATTTATAAGAGGCAATATATTTTTACGATCACAAATTTGTGCTTAATAAAACATTAAATGAAAATATTGTATTCTTTAAAACGCACCAGTACAAATGAAAGATTATTCCGTATTTTTCTAATTTGATGTCATTTCAGTCTTACCTTTCTATGTTGTGTTTTGTGTTTTGTGGATTGTTGTTTGTCTTTTTCGTCTAATCATTTTTTTTCCAATGAGGTTGTCGGTTTCGTTTTAAGGATGTTTTCTCCTCTTGTTTTGGAATTTTTGCCAGATTTTCGGAATCCTCTGATTTTATCTGTGTATTGCCATTAAAAAAAATTGCCCGCATACTTTTCTTTTCATATTTTTATTACATATAGTTTAAAAAGCCATATTTGAAAATCTTATAAAATCCTTGTTATTTTTTCATAGTTTTTGAAACGAAAAAGCGGCCAATGTTTAAAGTATGAAAAATTTAGAGAGAATCATTTCCCGCCAAATTTTCAATGGCTTATATCGCGAAAACAAGCGCACGGACTCTTCATGTTTTTCTGCTTTTTTAGTTCCTTAATTTATATACTATCAATTTAGAACAGTCTTTTAAAATGCTTGTTATTTTGAAACAGAGTAGCGAACATCCTTAACTGGTGAGTGTTTAATGACCCTTGGTATCTTCCACCTCTTTTGAACTACAAGTGTGAACTTAAAATACTATATGTACGTCACGAAAACGGTACTCATCTACGTAATATGTACGTAGGTTGTACTACAATAGAACTGCAGGTTTTTTTTATATTTGTGACAAGATGAAATTTACATATTTTTTTAAAGTCTATAAATCTATCAAAAAATCCTCTTCGTGAGCCTCATAAGTGTAATTTAAGTTTACGATACGGTAATGTCGTATTTTCATTATTTTTTTCTCAATATGTTTAAATATAGCTAAAAACTGTATTGTGGTAGATCTTCCAAAATTGGTAGTATTTATCTAAAATGAACAATCGGAGATCTCTCAGTAAAACCATAATCATATCGGCAGTATATGTTACAGTACAAGTAAAAATTCAGTAGAATCCAGAATCATCCTAGTACAAATTGGAATTCCAATATCTACTAGTAGAAATTGGAATTAAGATTCAGTACTAATCAGAACTCTAATATCCACAGGTATACCCAGATATCCTGGATTATACTATATGATTACTAAACAAGAAACAACAAAAGAACTTTGTAAAAAAGAAAACGAATTTTGGTTTTCTTTATAATGCAATAAGATAATATTATCAAACTAATCTGAATAAAAAGAACAGAGGTAAGACAACTTCTTATGAATTTATTTCACAAGAGAGCTTTTTTTTCTAAAAGTCCTTCGATCTTTCCTGAAATTCACAGTATCATCAACTCATATGAGGTGCATTAAGATTTTTTTTAGACTTAGTGTACATCTATTTCAAAACATTTGATCAAATTATTGATACCTATATATGGTTAAACACTTCAGTAAATATAAGGACATTTTTAACCAAAACCAAAATTGTATTGACAGTATTTAAAATATTGTCTATCAGATAAAAAAAACTATTTATCATAAACTAGTCAAAACATTTACTAAATTTTATCATCGGTATAAGGACATCATTCGTAAATATAACTCAACATGCAGACATCTTATACGTTCGGGTATTTCACATCCAATCTTTTATGGTAATATTCTTTACAAAGCACAAAAATGTCAGTATTCACCTCAAAAGCTAACAAAACCTTTAAACAGACTTATTAAGAAGGGATATAGTTACGATACTGTTGTCAGGTCATTAAATATTGCATATTTTGGCTTTAATATTGATTCACTTATAGGGTCTTTGCATCGGAATTAAACATATTTATTCTAAAACCAGTTGTTGGCATGACACGGGTTATGTTTTTCTCATATATTTTATGACGGTATAATACTAAACCCCAAACAGGAGGGATTGTGCCTGATATTCATATGATGAAGACATAATCTTTCAATCAGTTTAATTGAGGTCTGGAGCTGGCATGTCAGTAACTGCTAGTAGTCTGTTGTTATTTATGTATTATTGTCATTTTGTTTATTTTCTTTTGTTTCCTATTCTGACATCAGACTCGGACTTCTCTTGAACTGAGTTTTACTGTGCGTACTGTTGTACGTTTGTTTTTTCTACATTGGCTAGAGGTATAGGGGAGGGTTGAGATCTCAAAAAACATGTTTAACACCGCCACATGTTTGCGCCTGTCCCAAGTCAGGAGCCTCTGGCCTTTGTTAGTCTTGTATCATTTTGAATTTTAGTTTCTTGTGTATAATTTGGAGTTTAGTATGGCGTCCATTATCACTGAACTAGTATACATATTTGTTGAGGGGCCAGCTGAAGGACGCCTCCGGGTGCGGGAGTTTCTCGCTGCATTGAAGACCCATTGGTGGCCTTCGGCTGTTGTCTGATCTATGGTCGGGTTGTTGTCTCTTTGACACATTCCCCATTTCCATTCTCAATTTATGTATGTAAATAAAGGCAACAGTAGTATACCGCTATTCGAAATTCATAAATCGATTGAGAAAAAAAATCCGGGTTACAAACTAAAACTGAGGGAAACACATCAAATATAAGAGGAGAACAACGACACAACAGAAACACAACACTAAAATGCAACACACATAGAAACTAACTAATATAACAATGGCCATTTTCCTGACTTGGTACAGGACATTTTAAGAAAAAATGGTGGGTTGAACCTGGTTTTGTGGCTAGCCAAACCTCCCGCTTTTATGGCAATGTTAAATATAACATTAAAATGACAAGATTACATGACAGGACTAGAATACAAATAAATGGGAGAACATACAGGACAGAGACACACACAAATAATAGCTATCAAAAGGTACCAGGCTTATAACTTAATACGCCAGACGCGCGTTTCGTCTATAAAGACCCATCAGTGACGCTCAGATCAAAAAAGTTCGATATGCCTGGGATAAGAAAATCCTTAGTATTTAGAATAATTCATACTTTTGCAAACAGTAAATTTATAGAAATGACTATATGATAGATATACATGTTAACATCGAAGTGGTGACTAAATGATGTCTTTCGATACAAAATTTGTAAAATTTTCAATAATGTCTCAAAATTAATATTCAGAGGACAATCTTTTTAGTTAACGCAAAATTTGTTGTTGTTGTAAAGTCAATCAAAATACCATAAACAAAGTATTAGCGAATGTAAATATAATTAAGATAAATTTACAAAAGTTTATGTATTTTACAATATTTTGTTTCTAATAAAGTATTGAAAATGTCATTATATTATCATTTATCTGGTTTTTTACCTATCAAGTGCATCAGTAAAAATAATAAATAATAATAAAACAATTCAGTAGAATTTAAAATCATACTTACTGTTGATTTGGTAGTATCCTGGATTCTAATAGAAATTAAGTACAATCTAGAATCCTCCTAGTACAAATATGGATATCCAAATGTCTAGTAGTACTAATACTGGTAGATATTGGAATGCTGGTTTGTACTAGAGCTTTAACTAGTATTAATCTGAATTCTAATGTCTACTAGCAGATATTGGAATTCCAATTTGTACTAGAAGGATTCTGGATCCTACTGAATTTCAATTTGTACTCTAACATATATCTTTCAGATACAAACTAATTAATGTTGGCCCTGGATGTCCTTCAATGCAACACTATACTAAATTTATGAAAAACTTGTCAATTTCTTTTAATATCAAAATTGTCTTAAACAGTAATGTATGACTCTGAGAACATTTCAATTTGACGTAGATAGATTGATATAAGATAAAAATACTTAAATTATATTTTAATTGAGATCAAATTGAACTAGTCTTTTCTATTTTCATTGACCTTATGAAGTATAACACATTCAGGAATTAATGACATTACCCCTATTACTTTTTGATAGTGGTGATTTAAATCAAAC